GGGCCCCTGGGAGCGACAGCCGCGGCCCGGGGTGCGGGTACGGGCACGGGTACGGGTACGGGCACGGGCACGGGGAGGGATGGGAGCCTGCAGCGGGAACAAAGGAGCCGCCCTCAGTGTCTTCAGCGGGAGGTGGGAGAAAGAATGGGGGGAAAGGGAGAAAAAGAGGGAAAAAGGGAGAAAAAGGGGAAAAGGGAAAACAGGGAAAAGGGGGAAGAAAGAGGGGGCAGAGAGAGAAAAAAAGAAGCAAAAGAAAGAAAGAAACAAGACAGAGAGAAAGAGAAAGAAAGAAGGAAAGAAGGAGGAAAGAAGGAAGGAAGGAGGAAAGAAAGGAAGAAAGAAAGAAGCAAAGAAAGGAAGGGAAGAAGGAAGAAAGAAAGAAAGAGGAAGAAAGAAGGCAAGAAAGAAAAGAAAGAAGGAAAAAAGAGAAGGAAAGAGAGAAAGCGTCAATAGGGGAACATGCTATAGATTTGCTCATTCTGCTGATTTTCTGTGCAATTGCATCCTAGGTTTTCATTCCCTATACACCTTTGGAAGGAGCTCACTATGACAGGGCAGAGTCTGAAGGCTTTATCTGAAGCGAATTTTGAAGACAATGAGATCAGCATCAACGTTGGAGGCTTTAAGAAAAAGATGAGATCCAACACATTATTAAGGTTCCCCGAGACCAGGCTGGGCAAACTGCTGAGCTGCCACTCAAAGGAGTCGATACTGGAGCTCTGCGACGACTATGATGACACGAAGAATGAATTTTATTTTGACAGGAACCCCGAGCTCTTTCCTTACGTGCTACATTTTTATAACACTGGCAAGCTCCATGTGATGGGTGAACTCTGTGTGTTTTCTTTCAGCCAGGAGATTGAATACTGGGGAATCAATGAATTCTTTATAGACTCCTGCTGCAGTTACAGCTACCATGGGAGGAAAATGGAGCCAGACCAAGAGAAATGGGAGGAACAAAGTGACCAGGAAAGTACCACATCTTCTTTTGATGAGATTTTGGCATTCTACAATGATGCCTCTAAATTTGACAAACAACCCTTTGGAAACATCAGGAGGCAGCTCTGGCTCGCTTTGGATAATCCTGGGTACTCAGTCTTAAGCCGAATCTTCAGTGTCCTTTCGATAGTGGTGGTGCTGGGCTCCATCGTGACCATGTGCCTGAACAGCCTTCCAGACTTTCAGATTGTTGACAGCAACGGGAACCCCGAGGAAGACCCTCGCTTTGAAATCGTGGAACATTTTGGTATTGCATGGTTCACTTTTGAACTGGTGGCAAGATTTGCCGTAGCTCCTGACTTTTTAAAATTTTTCAAGCATGCCCTGAATTTGATTGACCTAATGTCTATCCTTCCATTTTATATTACCTTAATTGTCAACTTGGTGGTGGAAAGTAGTCCGACTTTAGCAAATTTAGGCAGGGTTGCACAAGTCCTGAGACTCATGAGGATCTTTCGCATCTTAAAGCTTGCTAGACACTCCACAGGTCTCAGGTCTCTTGGAGCCACTCTGAAATATAGCTACAGAGAAGTGGGGCTTCTTTTACTGTACCTCTCTGTTGGCATCTCCATTTTCTCAGTAGTGGCTTACACCATTGAGAAAGAAGAGAATGAGGGGTTAGCCACCATCCCTGCTTGTTGGTGGTGGGCTACTGTTAGCATGACCACAGTTGGCTACGGGGATGTTGTGCCAGGGAGCACTGCTGGCAAGTTGACGGCATCTGCATGCATCCTAGCCGGTATCCTAGTGGTAGTGCTTCCCATTACACTGATCTTCAATAAATTCTCCCACTTTTACAGGCGTCAGAAGCAGTTAGAGAGTGCCATGAGAAGCTGTGATTTTGGTGATGGCATGAAAGAAGTTCCGTCAGTCAACTTAAGGGACTACTATGCTTATAAAGTTAAATCCCTCATGGCCAGTCTTACCAATATGAGCAGGAGTACCCCCAGTGAGCTGAGCCTGAACGATTCACTGCATTAGTGTACAAGTTTGACAGCAGTTTGCATGAGAGCTATCAAGAGCTGTGTTTATAAATGTTTTCCTATTTGTCTTCTTTTTTCCTAGAGGATAGTGTTGCTGACACTGCACTAACTTTGCACTTGAGAAACTAAAGACATTTCTATTACAAGTTGACAGTTTGCACATTTTCATCCTGTTGCATAGGTACTAACTGCTGACTTTTCCATACAAATGTTACCACTTCCATGACACTAGTGCTAGCGGTATAGTGATGATCTGTTGCTTTGTGCATTTCCTCATCTGAGCAGAGAAATGAACGCACCCAAGTGGAATAAAAATTCTCAGCTGTGAAACGAGTAATGAAAAAATCACCTATCACCTATACTGGTATCTGTACTAGTGTAGGATTTCCCATGCATTTTACAACAGTTTAAAACAGTCACCTGTGAATCACTGACACAGGAACACTTTTCCCTATCTTTCTGACCAGTAATTCTGATTGTCACATGTCTGAAAACACCTCTGAGCTTCACATTTCAACGGAAGTTTGCTTACTCTTGAGCACATGTGTTAAAAACTGGGTGTGGGTGTTCTTGTTCTGAAATGTTATGTATGGTAATATTTTTCAGAAGCTCCTAAGCATAGGCCTACCTCTGCTTCCAAGATTAGGTCAATACTGAGCCCTCTGAAGAAGCCCACCCCTCATTTTCAGATAGCTACATATTCAAAGACTACATTTCCACAAGTGACTCTAGGTATGGAGGCCCATTAAGACACCACAGGTTCCCATTTCCAGAAGTGATCAGCACACAGCTCGGTTCACACAGTGAAGCTGAAGATATATTTCAGTCCATCAAAATGGTTCTGAGATTAGACACACAAAAAACCGTGGGTTTTCAACAATTAGAAGCTCCAGTGAAAAACTTGGATTTGTTTAATGAAGCAAAATATTCCCACATGAACAGTACAGGCAGCATTTTAGGAACTGACATTCATATACTGCAAAAAGACTAATTATAAAGATGCCATATGTGATGCTGAGATATAAAATCTAATTTTATCAGGAAAGCTTGAAAGCAGGTGTTGATGGCAGACAATTCCATTAAGCTTTCTGCCAAGGAAACTGTAAAGCAAAAAAAAACTCCTGTAAGTCACATTTTCCCTCAGAAAGGAACTCACAACTTACAGCTAAGGAAGAGTATAAGGTCCTCAGAAAGAAAAAGATAAGGAGCTTAACACTGCACTCACTGTGGGCAGATCCTCCTACCTGCTTCTGCAACGTAGTCGATTTAAATCCTTTCAAGGGCTGGCCTGTACTTCTTTTTTTTTTTAAAAAAGACACAACAGAGCAGATCATCTGGGTTTCAAGAATAATCATGAATCTGCATAAACTTATTTTTTGAGCGCGCAGCCTCTTCCCTTATGCAATTGTACAGAGATCAAACACTTGTAGCCAACAGCCACTGCTTCCCTCTCTTTATTTTTCTAGGGATCTGTGCTATAAAACTATGGGCATTCAGTGGGGAGAACAGCATTTCTCTTCAGATCCTGCTGCTTTTGCATCCCATTTATTACATATAATGTTGCAATTAATTTTTTTTGGGGGGGAGGTTTACTTGTAAAGACTAAAATAGAAAATAAATTCAAACTAGTTAGAAGAGAAATTAAAATACTACAGCTAAAATTGTCATGTTGGGAAGCCTGGGTTTGTATACCACAACATGGAGTGGCCTAATTGTCAGAATAAAGCAAATATGATACAAATAGGTAATTCCCCTTTTTAGGCTATTAGAGGTTGCTGTCTGGTCTGGATCTTTTATGTTGTTGCTGTATCAGCTCCACCTAAAAACAGAAAGCTGAGCACCCAGGATCAGATTCCTGTATGCCCAGTGATCTATCACAGAACACACACTGTGAAATAACTATTCCCCTCCCCGCCACATCATTTCCCTTGAACACCCTCCCCTCACATCAGTTTGTAGTTGATTTAGGCCATGAAGTGAGAGGGAAACCATCTAACCTTACCAAATAAAACTCTTGGGGATTTCAACATAGCCTGCACAAGTTATAAAGTCAATAGGTAAGACGTTGCTTGCTGTCCCTGAAAATCGAAGAGCCATATGCATGGCCCTGAAGATAGACTTAGATAACCCAAATTAGGTGTCCGAACTGAAACATTTTGATAAGGTGTTTCACTTCTGGAGGGCTGGTTCAAGTTCTCTGCTGGGTCACAGGCATAAATTCAATAGTCCTGTCCCTGCTTCATATTGCATGTGTGTAAACTATCATACACCTACAAACACCCGTCCAAAACACAGCAGAGCACTAGGTTGCCTGTTGGATTGACATACCATGAAAGAAATAAGGGAAGGAAGAGATGGGCTTGTGCAGCACATACACTCCAGTTGGGTTACATGCTGCAAGGGTGGCAAACTCTCCCACTGGTGTCAGGGACACTGCAAGTTCTCACTAGGTCTGTTGGTTGGGAGCCTTCAGAGAATCCAGCTCTAAGCAGTGGTTTTATCTCAGTTGCACAAGCAGTAGATTCACAGAGTTGAAAACCAATGACTTTCAGGGCAGTTATTTGAAGAGACCTGTAAACTTGCCAAAGAGTCACAAATTCCCTCAGCTGTTGCTGGTTTAGCATTGCAAAGGTTGGATCCAAACTTTGCAACACATCATTTCAATAACCTATAGCTTATCTTACGTTCTAGATTTATTATTATTCGTAGGGCTGATGCTCTGTCATTTCTGCAAATATTGAATGGAACGTGTCCAAATTGTGCTTTACTAAAGAAAATGAAATGCCCCAAGGAATTATGACTTTTATTGTACTGGTTGAAAGGAATTTTCATTATTGCTTTTTTATATAAGTGCTTTGGATCAAAGACACTAAATAAATAAAGTACTGAAATTTAATATGTTCTTATTATCATGACAATGACTTTACACAGTACACAGGAATTCCCTTCATAAACTTAACTAACTCCATGTTAAAAGTAGTCAGATTTTTGCTCCCCCCTCCTCCAGAAGAGCATTCCAGAGCTGTGCTGCTCTCCAAGACTTGTGCAACTTTTAGCATAATTTTATTAATGGCTGCTTTGTATCATTTTTTTTCTCATGCTACCACTGTTCTTTAGTGTAAATATTTCATTTTCCTCTTAGTGTTTGCATGTATGGTGTATTTATAGACAGCAACCATATGCCCTTACATGCTTATTTTCACGGGATTATACCTGCCAAGCTTCCTTTTAGTTTTCTTTTTGCAAGTCGTGTTTCCCTGACCATCCTAGGGGATGTAGCTTTTTTTTCAGCATTATTTCTGCATAGATTTAATCTGTTTGAGCCGGCGTTGTACAGTGTTGTACCACTTTGTACAGCAGTTTTAATATTTGCTTATGACAAACAGAATTTGTCACTGAGGAGGATAACAATTGTTCCCATTTAAGTAACGTTGTTGTCTTAGCTCCCCCAAAATATCTAGGTAAGAAAGAATGAGGCACACCTTTCCTGCCATTTTATGAAGTAACCTCTATTCTAGGGCTCAGTCCAGCAAGTGCTGAGAATCCTCATCTCTCCTCAAAAAAAAGTTACAGAAAAATGTTTACACTTGGAAGGAAAAATACAATCTCTCCAAAGCCTCAATAAGGAGAAGAGGTGGTGTACTTTTTGAGTAGTCGGTACTTTTCCTGGACTTCTTAAATAACTGTTTTGTAAGAGCAGGGCATCTTCACGTCTATAAAAGAGCGGGTCAGAAATGAGGGCTGCTTTCTCCGGTGTTTGAAACTTGAAAATTGTTCTGGTCAGAAATCTGCTTACTATGGATGTGCCATGTAACGAAATGCATTGCACTTGGCATGTGCTCCTCCTGCCTTGTGATGCTCACCTTCCTGGCACCAGTGAAAATGCTCCTACTCTCTTCTGGCTGAGAGCTTTGAAGTGCTTAAATGAGGATTATGGTAATATTTCAAACGAGGCAACTTACTTTATTGTTAGAGAATCTTGATTTCTGGTACAAATCTAGGCTATTATGACAGTCAGAGATGTCCTTGAGAAGCAATATGTTATATTATTTTCCTGAGATGTAAAATCCATATATAGATTGTGATTAAGCTTTTTAATGCATGTTCGGATTTTGTATTGCCTGGTTTATTATTCACTTACTTTCATCAGTTGCTAATTCTCTCTTCCCCTGCAGACTATTTTATCCATTTAGAAAGCAGACTGTCTTTTCCTCACATATTATATATAGTGTGAGCTACTTCACATTGCAAACTTAAAAACAAAGAACTTTGCATTTAATTTTCCAACTTTAAAATCTCCAGTATTTGTATCTTTTTGTACAGGACTTTATGAGACTGCAGGGAACTACTGTATCTGGTGCTCTTTGTACTGCATTTCTTGTCCCAGTAGTGTGTAACACACTCAAGAACTTCAGCTTTGTGCCACAAAATGGAAATTAAATGCATAAAGAAGTATATTTCACCAGGGATTAAGAACTGATTTAAGTTTCAGGATATTCTGAGTATGCGTTATAATCAAAGAGAAGCCTGGATCTCATTGTGAGGATAGGTTTCTTTTAATCATATACATCAGGCTACACTTCTATTTTTAGAAATGCTCTTAATTGGGGGGGGACACCCACATTTTTCAGTTGAGCAAATAGCACAAGCTTCTTGTTCTCTACCTCACAGGCTGGGGACTAAGCAATGTACCGACAGCACTTGTAGGTGCTAAATCAACTTGACATGACCTTTCATCTCTTCCAAAACAACCCTCATCCTTAGAGGCCCCAGCTGTGCACATGTAAGCTGCAGAAAGCCCCTGGAGTAACTGCTCTTGCTGTGCTAGTTATCTGTTTCCTTTCGCAATATTCCAGACTTTAATCTACCTTTGATGGTACTTTCAAACAAAATTCAACCCACAGTCACCACTCATACCCCTCGGTGAGGTGTTGTGCCAGAACTATTCTTTTCTCATCATGTTATTCTTCCTTTCCCTCCCCCCCCCCCCCCCCATTTTATGCACCTGGCTTCCCATTAAGTTACACCAGAAATTATCTTGATCTCCTGTAACTTATTTTCAAGTTGCCCACTATTTAGGCAGGGCTAGAAGAATATTCCCACCCAGTTTCTGAAATGTCCTTTCCTGATTCTGCCTTTTTCCTTTAAAAAAAAAAAAAAAAGAAAAATTAAAAAAAAAAAGATGATGCTTCTCACCTGAGAATAATTTACTGGGTTAACAATGCAACAACAGGCAATACATTATTCAAAGCAACAGTCCTTTGCTTAGTTGATTCAGAGACAGCCATACTGTCTGTGCCTTCAGAGCAATCATTGAGTTTGTTAAGAAACATTACCCTCGTTAA